TTTGGGGAGATGTCTAGACACAGCCATAACCACTTGTAAATGGGTTTTCAGACCTTATATGTGCTTTTGTTAAATCCATCCAAATGCTTGTGTTTAAAATCTCATTTGCATCTTCCCTGTCAATTTAAACCTCAGCATGGTCACTATGCTTATTGGCTACATGTTGTTTTTGAGCTTGATCTTTCCTCCAAGTCTTAGGATAAAAAATACCAGGTGACACAGGACTGGTGTCAAAGAGTCAGGGCCTCTCTTTAGCAGAGCTCATTAGCAAGTGTCTTTCCGTGGATATGTTTTGCTTTAACTGAAAAGAGTTTAATATTTAAAAAGGGATAGCTTGTATTTAAAAATAGGATAGTTTCATAACAAAATACCTGTGTTAGGATACTTTTAAAGATCATCATAAGCAGCACCCAAGTTTTGCATTTCCTTATGGTGCCAGTGTTGGAACTGAGCTGTAGCTGACTCTTATGGACAGATATGGGGTTCTGTGGTCCTATTTGCCTCATTTTATATGGTCAACCCTGTAGGGATTTATGTTTGCAACTCTTGTAGTGGTCTCTTAATAGTTTGACATAAATTCATTGATTGACTGGCTTGTGTATGCGTGCATTCATGCAGTAGTTTTTTGAACCCCTATCTATATGCCAGGCGCAATGCTAGATGTAAGAGACACAATGGTGGTTGAGATAGATGCTATTCTTTTGCTCATAGATATACTGGGGAAGCTAGACATGAAACAGTTATTATATATATAATCTTACTTGTGACATAGAGGCAGATTATATTAATCAGGACCATTTAGCTGTAGAAATTCAACTTGTCACTAATCTACCAGACTAAGAAGATAGCACATTTTCCATTATTCAAAAAAAAATATTGCAAGCAAGACTGAGAAAGCCTTTGTTAAAGCCCAGAGGCATGGTCCGTGTCATGCTTTCCATATCCAACAGATTAGCAACTGTCCAAAACCAAAGCAAAACACGTGAAAAGGAAATAGGGTTAGTTGGATGTGCTTCACTCTCCATATGCTGCCTCTTTTGTCTGTAGTTAGCTGTTTCTTGCTGTTTTTGAAAAACAGAGTGGCAATTGTGGATCTCTTAGTGTTTCTTTTCTACAGGATGCTTTTGGGATCCTGGGGAATGGTTTGATGGAACCTTCTCATGGAAGCTTGGTATTCAGTTCATTGGTGCTAGAATTCAACTCACTGAGGACATCTGGTTGTTTCATAGATGTATCTGACCTGTTCTCTCCCCTCAAAATATTGCACTGGTAGAAAAGTGTGCTGTAGGACAAAATGGTTAACACTGACATCTCCTTTTCTCTGAGGTTCAAATTGACAGGGAAAGGTGGTGAAAAAATGTTATCCTTGAAAATTCCTGTCTTAGTTAGAATCCTTGACTTGCAAGAAATATAAGTTAGTTCTGATTAACGTAAGTAAAAATTAATTTGTTATAATGATATGAGAGAAATAAGACATGTGAAGGAGAAAAATGAAGATTTAGTCTTTAGAAAGTTCTGGAACCAAAGAAGTTCTGGAGATCCAGGAAGCAAGAACTAATGGTCCGTTCCTTCAAGATACCAAAAACAGGGTGAATAGAACTATTTAAGATGCAAATTCCATGCAGAGGAGTTCTGAGTGGCCCTCTGGGAGTCACATGATCATCTATAAATTGCGACCCCACAAAGATCCCAAGGAAAACTGAAGAGGAAAAACTATAGGGAGTGGATCCTGGGCAGATGAGCTCCATGGATGTCCATGGAAGTCTTGTTCAACTTAATGGCTGGGTAGTGACTCTGAGTTATCAATGGTGTATCGGTCATGACATCAAAACCCTGTCTACCATTAGGTATGGCCACTCAGTGGTCCTGCTCAGCTTCACCTAAAAAATAAGTTCTGTGTAGAGCCCTAGTTCTCTTTGATTTCATCTTAGTATTCAAGTTAAGAATCTGTAGACATGATAGTGAAAAATGCCTGCACAGCACATAGTATGTGTCAGAGCACTTTGAGTGGCTTATCAAAATCAGCTCATTTAAGACGACAAAAAGCCAGGTGTGGTGATTCGGGCCTGTAACCCAGCACTCTGGGAATCTGTGGCAGGAGGATCACAAATTTGAGCCCTGCTTGGACAATTCAGCAACTTCGTGAGACCCTGTGTCAAAATAAAAGCAAGCATGCAAGCAAGCCAACAAACAAACTAAAAAAAAAAAAAAAAAATGGGCTAGGGATGTAGCTCAGACTGAGGATCTTTCATTCATTCCCCAGTAGCAAAACACCAAAACCAAAATCTGTTACTGACCACAATATGAGGTAGGGTCAGTTCTCATTAGCGGCAGGAGTTAGGTATCTTCTATGCGGTCACCACAAATACTGAATCTGAGTACTGAACCAGTGCTCCTAAGGGAGATACACGGTTAGGCTCCTTTGAGCATTTCCATCAATCCATAACCTTGTTTTATGTGTATTTCTGTTTAGAGGCACTGTCTTTAATATATACTATTGACTCCTTAATACCAGGCTCACATCCAACAATGCAACACCTTGAGGCTGGAGAAGCTCACCTAACACCTGTGTGAGACACCACCGCCTTCTTGTTCTTAAGGATATTAGGCAGCACTTGAATGCTCTCCATGGGGGCCATTTTACAAAAAAACCACCAACTAAAGCACGGAAGTGTGAAAAACATGGTGCTAATATGCTGTAAAAAGAACACTTTCAGAATGAGAACCGAATGGAGAAGGTACAGCATCACTTTGTTCAGCCTTAGCTGTGAATATGACTGTTGGGTGGTGCCAGTGTTTTGCAGTTCTGCAGGTGTCCACAAGTATTGTAATTTCAAAAGCACTGTGAGTATTGATTTCGGGATGACAGATTTTACCAGGCAGGTGAATTTGTACATATGGAATATGTGACTAATGAAGACTGACTATAAGTAGTTATCTCCTCTTATTTTTCGATACTGCGGATTGAACCCAGGGCTTCCCACCAACCTATATCCCCAACCCCTTTTAAATTCTGAGACATGGTCTTGCCAAGTTGCTGAAGTGCCAGGGTGGACTTGGGCATGCATCAGCCTCCCAGAGTGCTGGGACTACAGGTGTGCACCACTGTGCCAGAGCGTGGAGGCACAGAAAGAGATTCACCTGCTTTCCGCTGGTCATGTGGTGCTGGCTGCGAACTCTGTGCCTTTAAAAGATCGACTAGTGTAGCGGTAGGCATAGTGTGGTCCTTGCTAAAAGCTGATTCTCGTGTTCCCTGGGCATTAAAAAAGTACAATATACTGGGGGCCACGGGATGAAGTAGTAGGAGTCCTGGGGGTGGGAAAGTGGTTTACTTGAGTAATTTTAGGCTGTTTGTGTAGCCTGTGATGCAGGACAATAATGTTGAACACTGAGGCTTTTTGTGCAGCTTGTCCTTGAGCCAAATCTCGTACAAGCAGATGTTGTAGTGATCTGGGAGAACAGCGTGGTGGGTGGGGTGTTGATTCCCAAGGGAATGACGGTGGTTCAGAGACTGAAGCCCCAAATTCTTAAGTTTGAATCCTGGCTCCATTTCTTTTTCTTTTTCCTTTCCTTTTTATTTTTTTCTCCCCTCTTCTTTCCTTTCTTTTCTTCTCTGTGCCCCTGAGAAAATTAGTTAACCTCTTGTCCTTAGTTTTTTCACCTGTAAAATGGAGATTAAAAATACCTGTGTTATTGAGTCAGCGTGAAGATTAAATGAGTAGATATCAGTACAGTAGCCTGTTGTTATCTGTGGTTTCACTTTCTGTGGTTTTTAGTCACCTTCAGTCAATGGTGGTCTGAAAATACTAAATGGAAAATTGTAGAAATAAACAATTCAGAAGTTTTAGGTTGTGTGTTGCTGTGAGCATCATGACGGAAATGTCATGCTGTCTTGTTCCATCCTGCTTGGGACATGAGTCATCCCTTTCTCCAGTATATCCAGGCTGCACATGGTACCTGTCTGATAGTCACCTGGCCATTACCAGATCGACTGTCTTAGTATGTGTTTGAATGTAGGGTTTGGTACTATCCATGGCTTCAGGCACCCAGTGGGGTCTTGGAATGTGTCCCCTACACATAAAGAGGCACCTGTGCGCGGCATTTAGAACAAAGCCTGGTACGTGTCACATGCTCTAAAGTGTTTTATCTTGTTGTCTGTCCCTAGGTTTTATGGGACTCTCTGGGGGTCACACAGCATGTGGTTGGGAGCCTCCCCACCCTAGTTCCAGTGTTGCTCTAGAAGCTAGGTCCTGGTCTTTTCCATTCTGCTAAGGCTCTGCCTGACTCACTTCTTGGGCTCACACAGATGACAGCTAAATAGAAGGGCTCCTTCCTCTTAGTATTAGCTTAATTATAGGGGCTCCCTAGAAGGGGGTGGGGAGTGAGCTTGAGAACTCCCCCCGTCCCTTGCCACAAGACTTGTTCTGGGACCTGAGAGAGGCACGAACATTGTGTCTTGCCTTGTTCTCTTCTTTCTTACATACCTTTTGTCTCTGTAATTCTGCATGCTTACTCTTTAATCTCTGGATGGGTTTTATTAGATTTTTGTGTGTTTTCTCTGCCCTGGTTTGAGCTCCAAAAGTCTGTTTGGGTCTCTGTGGGTGTCTGGCAGCCGCTGCTGGTCTTTCTGAGTTACATAATGAAGTTTTGTATTTTTTGTTCTTTACTGGGGATTCTTTCTGTGCTATAATTTTTACTTTTATGAAAAGAAGTAGGGTACTAGAATTTTCTTTGGGATCCCCTAGAGTCTTTCCTGCCATATTTTCTCCTTTAAAGCAATTTTTTTTCTAACTGCAAAAGCAGTACATATTTGTTATGGAACATATCGGAATGCAGGGAAAGCAGATGCTCTCTCCACACAGAAACATTAATTGTTTGGTGTATATCTTTACCTCTCTTTGTTTCTTCCTCTCTCATACATACGAATTGGATCGTGATGGCGTGTGAAAATACTTGTTCCGCTTCGCATTTCATCTCTGCTGTCTCCTGTGTCTCTGTAGCCTCCATGGCGTGGCTTGACCGGTGTTTACTCAACAGGTACCATGTGATTTCATGGAGGTGTTTTGATGTTTCAGTCTTGTAAGCATTATGTTGACTGCTACAGTTGGGACTTCTGTGTCTTCCAAGTGCCCAGATGTTAATGGCTTGATCCTCCATCAAAATTGTGCAGCCTCAGAGGTGGGGCCTGGAGGGAGCTTAAGGTTATGTGGAGAGCACTTTCTAAGGGTCCTAGACCTCTTTTCTCTATTGTTTTCCCTGCCCATGGGATAGATTGCTTTGCCCTGCTGTGTCACAATGTCTGCCTTACTGTAGGCCCAAGGCCACGGGGCCAAGCGATCATGGACTGGGGATGCCCAAACTCTGTGCCCAAATTTTGATCTTTTCCAGTTAATTACCTCAGAGATTTTGTTACAGTGACAAAACTGACTGACACACTGACAGACAGTCTTGGCCGGTGTCCTTAGATGTGCTGTCAGAACAGACCTCTGAAAGTTTTAGTAATGATTTGGAAAGGAATGCTTGCTGACTGCTCTGTGATGCGCATGGGGTCCGAGGAGCATGGGCATCCACGTCCATCTCCCCAGGATGAAGGTTGCAGAGTGGACAGCAAGTTGATGGGATACTGCATCAACCCCTCCTCTTCGGGGCTCTTTCCCCACTTCCACTTTTTTCTGTTTTATTTCTTTTAGTAGCTCCAGTTTTCCACTATATTCTTTGGTGTCAGTGAAGCTTTTATGTTTAAAAAATAATTTAATCATTAAAAAAATTACAAAAAGTTTAATTGTGGTCAAAAGTGATGTGAAATTTATGATCTTAAACATTTTTAAGTGCACAGTAGTTTTAAGTATATACTCTTTGTTGTGACATGGATCTGTTAAGCTTTGTAATCTTATAAATCTGATGACATGTACATTGGCAGTAATTCTCAGTTCTGCTCCATCCCCTCTCCTCCAAGCCTCTGATAACCAGTGTTCTACTTTCTGTTTCTGAGTCTGCTGTACATACCTGATGTAAGTGGAATAATTTGGTGTTCATCTTCTTGTGATTCCTTATTTCCTTGAGCACAGTGCCCTTAAGGTCATCTGTGTTGTAGCATGTGTTAGCATATCTTCTTTTTAAAAGGCTGAACAGTATTTTTTTTTTTTTTTTGGAATTGAACTCAGGCCCTCATGCTTGCCAGGCAGGCACTGTGCCACTGAGCTACATCCCCTGCCCTGCAGACTGAACAGTATTCTATTGCATGTATAGATCACATTTTGCTTGTCTGTTCATCTACTGATAGACACTTTGGTTGCTTCCCTTTCCTAGTTATGCGAATTATGTTCATGTGAACATAGATGTACAAATATCTCTTTGAGAACATGCTTTCGATCTTTTGGATATATATCCACAAGTAAGATTGAGAAGACTTTACTGGGGACCTAGTCCCTATTTCTACACAGTTGTAACTAACACATACATGTTTAAAAATTGGCATTTATTGGGTACTAGCCGTGTTCTAGTCATCAAGCCAGGCGCTGGGGATCGAATGGCTTTGACAGCTCCCTGCCCTCATGGAGCTGATGTTCCTGCAAGAAGACAGTAGGCAAATTGGAAAAGCAGGATGAGTTCAATTTGTGATAAATGTTATGAAGAGATTGGATCAAAATTTGGCAACAGCATGATCTGGTGAAATTGTTACTTTAGATAGGGAAAGTTTTTCTGACGTGACATGTGATTTGAGAATGACAGAGTAGGGAAGAGCCGGCCATGTGAAATTTCTGGGAATACCATCCCGCGTTCGTTCTGGGTTAAGTGGTGTAAAGGTCTTGGGGAAGACCTCAGTCTGGCAGGATCAGCATGCCTCTGGTAGCGTGGGTATGGGTTGGTGAAGCAGTGGGAGGAGGTGGGAGGGATAGGGAAAAGGAAAGAAGGGAAAAGAAAAAAATAGGAGGAAAGGAAAAACATGGAAACAAAGTCTTTGTAAATAGGGAAGGGTGGAGAGGGTGAAGGGAGGGCAGGGGAATGGGGAAAAAAATAAGAACCAAGACCTGTCTTGTAAAGGTACAAGATCCCAGTGAAGATCCCAATGATGAATGTAACTGTACTGTATACCTAAAAAGTACCAATAAACGTAATAGGGGGAAAAGATTTGCATTTAAAACATCTTCCACTGGTTCTGAGTGGAGAGCGGCCTGTTAGGCAGCTGGAAAGGAAGTAGGAAGATGAGTCAGGGAACCACTGCAGGCACAGGCGGGAGATGATGGTGTAGTCTTTGTCTACAGCTGCAGCAGTGCAGATGGGAGACGTGGGAAGACTTGGGAGCTGAGAGGACTTGCTGGTTAAGAGGGTGTAGATGCTGGAGGGAAATTAACATGTGACCGGATGTCTGGTGCACCTTACATTTTTGAACTTCATATCGGTTCTGTACCAGCATTTTGCAGATTAGTGTTAGTGTTGTCCAACAGAAATGTAACATGAGCTGTAAATGTGTGTAATTAAAATCTTTCTAAGCAATCACATTTACAAAGTCAAATAAAGAAGCAAAATTTATTTTGATAATATTTAGCTTTCTTTAACTCAGTATATTCCAATATTATCAACATGTAATCAATATAAAATGGAGCTGTCTTACCCCCCCCATATACACACACTGAGTCTACAGAATTTGGTTGTAGTCAGATAGCCCATCTCAATTCAAATCAGCCACCTCTTACAAACTCAGTAGTCACACGGGCTATTGGCTGCCATATTGGTGGCACTATTGCAGGTGAGGAAACAGAGGCTCTGGGAGTATAAGCTGCTGAGGCAAGGCTACAGAACTGGGGTCTGAACCCTGACTTGACTGACTTGCGATTCTCGAGACACTACTAAGGGAAGGCTGTCTGTATGCAATCAAATCTCAGAGGACTTTCCCCCACCTCATAAACATGCGGATGTAGGACCTAGCCTTTTCATATATTTGCATTTTTGTTTCCAGCACAGATCACCCCTAAGTTCCTCCCTTTCACCTCTTTCCCCCCTCCATTTTGTGAACATCAGTCACTTCATTACAAAAATATGGACATTCTCTTTGCCTTCCCTTTAGGCTTCCTGTTTGACCACCATACCCTGGGGACCCTGGAAACTTGGCATTTCCATTTCTTTCAAAGCATTCTCACAGTCTTTTTGTCCACAGGGCCATTCATTTGTCCAGAAAATATTGATAATTGAATGGATATAATAGAGTAGGAATTAAGTACAGGGTCTCAGATTGTAGAGCCAAGATTTAGTCCCACATTTACTAAACAGATGATCTTGGGCAAGTTATTTCATTATTTGGACTTCCATTTCTTTCTTAGATAAAGATAATAAAAATGCCTCCTTTTCAAGGGGTATTGTGATGATAATGTGAGATGGTATGTGTGAAGTATGACTTAAGAAATCAGTAACAACGGCGACAGTAGTAATAACTCCCGTTATTATGGGCCAGGCACTAACCCAGTGATGTCAGTCTTCCCCGTTTACTGTTGTCTTTTCTCTTTCTTTTTTTCCAGTACCGGGCATTGATCTCAGGACCTTGTGCTTGCTTGGCAGGCCCAGCACCGCTGAGCTGAATCCCAGGCCTACAGTCATCTTTTCTGTAGGAGTGAAATTTATTATCATTGTCACTAACCTAATCAGCTCTGTGTTTCTTGTGCAAATGGTTGATTCAGAGGATTTTAACCACTTTCTGAAACTTTCTTCACCTTTTCTCCCTTCCTTGCCCCTTCCATGGCTTTCTGGTTCAGTTTGCATACTACCCACTCCTTTTCCGGCGGCACTGAACAACATCTGCATGGGATTTATTTTAAAATGGGAAATGAAAACTACCATGTGCTGAGAAATGTGCATTTCAGACATGGAGTAGCTGATGGGGGAAATACTTTGGATATCTTTCAAGGTCCCTTGAAATCCTATGAGCCACCACCAGGTTGATCTTGTAATGCGAAGGCCCTGCCGTGAGTGTATTTCTTTTTGATTCTGCACTGGGCACCAGCAGGTCTGAGGAGCATGATACTGTAACATTAATGACAGGTAACTTTCATTGATTGATTGCCATGTGCTGGAACTGTGCTCATAAAACTGCATCTGTTTTCTTTTTCAATCTCCAAGCCAACCCTTCGAGAGTTATTTTGTTATAGTTGTGGAAGCTAAGGTTGATAGATTTTGCTTGAGGTCGCAGAGAAGGGGCTTCAATCCAAGCCTTACGCTAAAATGTCTCCTTAACCATTTTTGTTGTTTGTTGGCATTAGCCTGCCCCTGACAAGGAATTTCATCTTGGCTTGTAGATGGACCACGGCCTTCTCTTGAGAGAGTCATCTCCTCCCCTTCTTCCTCTTCTTTCTCCTCCTCCTCTTCCTCATCTACTCTTAAAAATTGGTTATACAGATTAATAGATTTCATTTTGGCACATGCTTTGGTCCCTCCGCCCCCATGGACTTGCCTGGTTCTCTTCTTTGTTTCTGTTACTTTAGTGAACTTAGCTTTGGAGTGTGATAGACTCAGGTTCAAATCCACGTGACTTCGAGCAAGTCCTTGAACCTCATCTTTGCCTCTTAGGGTAAAAAAGTGTTGGTGTACCTCTTATGTGCTAAGAGTTGGGCAGTTCGTTCTTGGCCTCAGTAGGTGGGTCAGTACAGGGTTATTATTATCATCTTTACCACTTATTTCCTTTTCGTTCCCACATCCTATCCTTCCCTTCTTTGACTGTAGCAGTCACTGAGATTCTTTTTCCTTTGGTATATGCCTTTCCTTCTCATACTTCTAACTGCAGCCCAACTCAGTTCTCTGCCTGACATTTGAACCTGAGGAAAGGAAGTTTTGTTTTCAGTCTGAGGTCAGTAGAGCCACAGACATCTTTCTACCTTATTCTGTTTCCAAAATTGGCTCTGGAACGAATCTCTGAATCCCAAGACTTTCTGTGCAGCTACCATTTATTACCCTTCAGTGGTTCTCTAGCTGGGGGTGCCAGGCTGTAGGCTGGCATTTGTGTGGTCTTGGCTTTTTTCTCTCTAGTAGAGTCCTCCTTATCTTCC